ATTAGACCTTCATAGAAGCGGAACAGCTGCGCCATTCTACTCTGCTCTCAGATTATTTCCATGAGAAGTAGGTTAGGATATGGTTCATATGCTTGAATATTATCATCTGCAGAGAGCTGTTCAATTGTTTCTAAATATGATCGTAAAGAAACCTTTGAATATCCACAAGGCGTTACAAATGACCCCGACCGGAGATAGAACAGAAAGTAGGCACTACCAAAGCGCTGCGCAGTTGTGTCGGGTGGAATAATACTGATTCAGAATGCGTTTTCTCTTTTCAGTCTATCGATATATCCCCGCGTTTAACCCTAACAGTTGATCTTTGTCTGCCTGTCCTTTGAGGTGTATGTGGTCATTTTTCAGACTTAGTTAAAATCAATGAACTGATTGCCAGTTAAACTTGCACTGCCGTTGTTTCAGAATCACTGGTTTCAAAGCTTAGAACATGTAGTTTTTAAAGTAATTGATGTATCGGTGTTTTTGTTCACGCACTGACCAGTTTCAAATAGTTCCGGATAATGCCTTTATCATTAACCGTTTCTGATTGAATTTTATCAATATGATAGAAAGCCTTCAAACCGCTTTCCAGAATCCGTACTTTAAATTTAATTAGTACGATTAATTAGGTACGGTTTAATGGTATGGATTAGTTTCTGATATGATGTTCGAAATTTTACAGTAAAATTTTTGACATTAATTTTCTGTAAGGTAAAACAATATCCTGTATGCTTAATACTTGACGAAAAGTATTTGTTACAGCAGTTGCTTGTCGTTTCTTGCTGCTGGTAATCCAAATCTGCGAAATGTTTGCCATTTGACATTTCTTTCTTAAACTTCCGTTTCGGCAGTCGATGTTTGAATACTGCTGACTTCGAAACTTATCAAGTTCTCGCACATAGTTCGAACATCTGAATTTTTTGAATAAAAGAAGTGGTTTGCTACGAAGATGAGCTTGCGTGCTATTACGTTATCGATGAAAGGGATCATTGAATGAAGATTATAATTTAGTGTTTTCAAATATCATTAATGA